GTCTTTGGGCCTGACAGCATTGTAATGCTGTCAATGGGAAACGGATGATACGAATTTCTGACACACAGTGGGGCCACAACCGACCAGCTCTCATCTTTGGCCGATCTCGAGGAAGAGCCAATGGGGAACACCAAACGCCTGCTGGCCTTGACCGCCGAGCACATCACAGCAGCAAAGGAGAAGGCGGCACCCCGGGCCCACAAAGAGAAGCCCCTTCCTCCTGCCGCGTCTCTCCAGAACCCTCCACCGACAAAGCTTACTAACACCGTGCCCGCGGGCAGAGAATCCGTCCCGCTCTAGGGTGACAGAGGAGGGCGGCCGGAGCGGGTGTGGGATCGAACAGCACACCCCGACAGCCATGCGCACACCTGGAGAAGGGAGGACGGCGAGACGCAGCAGCGGGGACAGGCGAGGGAACTGGCAGGGCTGTGCTCCCAGGCGGCGTGAGATCACGCCCCACGCTCCCCCTGCCCGTGCGCAGTTCATCTCGCGCAGATACGAAGGGGTCACTTCTCCCTGCGTCCCCCTGAAATACCACCAACACACAACGACGAGAAAACTCTTATCAAGACCGAAAACCGAGACCGACAACTGGAACCTGTGAGGATTTATTTCCTCTTGATTTCAAAACGCATGGGAGCTGAACCGAGAAACATCCCTGGAAGCCAAACTACTCATTTTTTTTTTCTGGAAAAAAAAAAAGGCAAACGAGGGATGGAGCCATGCTCAGGGAAGAGCGGGAAATGGAGTGTTCTTTCCTCATCCTCTGGCCCCTGTAAGGACCGCAAAACTGGGCACTGCCGTTCAAGGGTCACAGCCCTGTCCCCATCCCTCAGTCCCGGCCAGTGCCACCCTTCCTTTACTACTTCACGACTTCACATCAAGTTTGGAGGGTGGCGCAGGGAGGACTGGCAAATGCCATTGGGTCCTGAGCGAGAAGTGTCCCCAGGGTGCCAACACTCTAGGGCGTCCTTCCCACCAGAGGCTTGGGGCCGTGAGATACACTTTCGGAACAGAAGCGCGTGGCAGTTTTACACAGAGAACCCCACTGCCTTTGTAAGCAGCGCGATGAAGCATTGTGCCCCGGGCTCACTGGCAGTCCAGACGGAGAAAGGTTAAAGGGCAAATATTTGTCAAACACACACAAGCAAAAGGAAAGCAGGGGTGGACATTTTAATCCCGAACAAAGTAGAACACAAAGACAAAAGCATTCAAAGGGGCAAAAGGGTTGGCAAGAGGTATAACCCTAATAAAGATAAAAAAAAGCCACAGAGAGTTAAACACCTAATTATTTAACATCAAAACTTAAAAAGGCGGAGCTGTTTGCAGCGCAAAGGAAAAGTGAAATAAGAAGGCAACACTGCATTCTCCACCTTTTCTAGAGCAGGCAGAAAGGACAATCAATACGAAGGAAAGTGCAAATGACGACGGGATGAGTTCTGACGAGTTTGGACCGCAGTTAGGAGCCCGTGCCCTGGGAAAGGAGACAGTGTTCTTCCGAAATTCGGCCCCGAGGACATGATGGACAAGCTGTTAGGTTGGAGGAGTTACCATCAGTATTCCCATGGGCTCACGTGACTGGAGGAACAGAATGCTGGTGTAGGAGAAGCCACATACCCACCAGGGAGTTAGTGAACTTTTCTTGTGAATTTCCAAAGTAGATAATAAGAGTTCTGATGATCTGCAAGCAAATCCGCTCACAGGCAAATTAACGTATTAGTTCCTGGGCTATATCTCAAACACACCACACTCCAAACCCCACAGCACTAATCAAAATAGAAAAAAAAGTTCCCACTTTTCAAAGTCAACAACACAGCCCTGGACAGGCTGGGGGGCTCCCTGACGCCCCGACTCATGCGGGCTGGGGCACGCTGTGCAGGGCCTTCCCCTGAAGCAGCCAGAGCTGGGAACAGCGGGAAAGGAAGACCGCACTGAGCTCTTATTGAGCCCTGGTGGCCCAGACGTGGAATACTGAGCTTGGTTTTCAAGACTCAGGGGTTCGTGATCAGGACACTCAGCCCAAAGGGTCATGAACCAAGGTAGCCATCACAGCAGAATGGGAAACGAGAGGAAGAGGGAGATCAAAGCCAAAGGGTCCGAGCCAAGGACTGCGAGCGTCGCTGCACAGCCACACGTAGGCTTCCTGGCTCCCTGCCGAGGCCCGGGGCCCGGCGGGCCAGCCGGGCTGGGGTAAAGATGCGGTGCTGTGGGACAGGCAGGCCACGGGCCGTCGCTGGCTCGGTGCGAAGTGGATAACACGTCTTCTGCTGCCAGGTATCTGTCAACTCTCCCTTGCCCACTGCAGTATTAATGGAATTCGGGTCATAAGGGGTGAGAAGGAGGTAGTCAGGAATCCCTCTCCCTATGCCCAGAATTTGAGGGTTTCGTATTATGGTCCAGCTACATCTACGACTGGGATTGATACAAAGGTGCAAAAAAGCTTCTTCTATTCTTTGGGAGACCTGGAGGGATTCAGATTTTTTTTTTCAGTTTGTTCACAAAGCAAATATATGGGATCTATTAGGTTCCCTGTGTACCAACATTTACTATATTGCACTGATTTGCTGGCGGAGAAGGAAAAGCCAATTTGCATGGTTCTTGTCAGTCACATGTGGTTTGGAATTGCTTATGCATTCCAGATACACTCTGTGTAAACTAGAGAGTCGTATCTTATTTCTGCTGGTTTGCATGCATGCATATGAAACTTGTTTTCCCCACAGTGCCAAGTGAAAATAGGAGCAGAACTCGCAGCAGTGATCACAGCTAATCAACCTCTTGGTTAAAACGTCACGGCCGCGATGGGGAGCACTCCTGTCCCTCAGGCCTGTAGAGGCTGCGGCCTCTCCTCTCCTAGTTTGCCTGTTCAGTTCTGTTCCACGGAGCATCGAGAGCTGAAGTCTGTACCTGTCAATCAACACACAATTTCTGATCCCTACTATGTGCCAGGCCCTCTGCTCGGTACTGAAAAACACTGAGCAGCAGAATCCCTGATTCACTCACAGAGTTCAGGGTTTAGTGGGAACGAACCGCCAGTACGTTAAGAGTTACCGCCTGGTGTGATAGCCACTCTTCTAGAGTGTGGGTGGGGTTCAAGACCCTGTGGACCCGGAGCGGGGGGGCTTGCCAAAACCCCACAGAAGAAGGTGAATCTTGATGGTGAAGTATGTGTTGAAGTGAAGAGGGACTGGAAGGCATTCAAGAAAGTAGGAACACTCTGTGCAAAGACACGAAGCTCATCAAGAACACATGTTGCAGGGACCCGAAAGAAATTCTGCGTGGCTTGCGGCCAGAGGTGGAGCCAGTGGAGAAAATAATGTGAAAACACATGAGAGAGAGGCCATAATCCTAGTAAACAATGTTATTTTAGTAGTCTGCATTCTGGTGTTAATATTCGAAGATGTTTGCTCACCAAGACGACGCAGGAGTGGCAGGCGGACGGGCTCACGTTCCCGTGTGCATCACCCTGCCCCTGTCCCTCGCTGCTTCTCCCTCCCTGGCACTTACACCAACACCTGGCACCGAGGTAGCCCCGAGTGAATGCGCTTCTCCTGCTATTGCTGCATGGAGCGGATGGTCTCCACAATGGGCCCTAGCGATCCAGGCCCTGGGCCAGACCCCTCCCCTGAGTATGTGCTGGACTTATGGACACGTGTCTAAAGAATAGACTGTACCAGAGTAATGGGTTGTCGTTTCCAACACTGTGTTATAAAAAGACTGCAGCTTCCCTTTTGGGACGTCTCTCATGTCCTCAAACGCTCTGGCTGTCTTGGTCTCTTGGATCATTAGCTGCCATGTCATAAGAACGCTCCAGCGGCTTATGGAGAAGCCCACGCGGTGAGGAGCTGAGCCACGCCCATGTGAGCATGCCCACTGTCAGCACCTATGTGAGTGAGCTCGGATGCCGACCTTCTGGAGCCTGCCAACAGCCACATGAGGGAGCTTGGAAGTGAATCCTCCGGCTCCACTCAAGCCTTGGGGTTACCGCAGCCTTGGCCCGTGGCTGGATGGAGACCTCCTAGGGGGCGCAACGCCAGGGGCACACAGCTGGTCTGCATCCAGACTCCTCACCCACAGAAACTGTGATAAGCCACTACATTCTGGGGCAGTTTTCTATGCCACAGAAGATAACTAAGATACTACCCGAGCACCATCTCCTCCTATTCCCTAATCAAGGCTGGGGGTCTGGGGTGTGGGGGTGTCAGAGTTTCCCCTTGGTGATGGGGCCCTGACTGGGAACTCGGATTTTGTGACCAGGATCCCAATCGCCTGACGCCTCACTCCTTGGTGGACCAAACCCTGCTGCCTGTGTCCATGCAACTGGTCCGACCATGCATAGAATGAGTCTGGGCCAACCACGGCACAGATTCCCGGGTTTGGCGTGCCCTTTCCCACCAATCAGGGCTGACCCTGGGTCCCCCAGCACTGTGGGCTGCAGTCCCTCCACGCGCTGCGGCAGAAGCCCAGGAAACCGAATCTAGGTGATCACTATCACGTGTCCACAGAGAGACACAGGTAGTTAATGTACTCTTGCTCTCCGTACATAACTCTGATTGATTATATGGCGCACCTTAGAAACTAATGATTAAGCTTCCTATATACACTGCCCAGGTGGAAGTAAGTGGGAAGACATAGATTGCTTAGGGAACACTGGGTTTTGGGCAGCACATTTTTGGTAGTTTATACAAAAAGGTTAATTTAAAGGCAGTGGTTTTAGGTGTAAAGAAAGTTTTCAGACCTTGTAGAGATGTTAAATATTTACATAAAATATTATGTTCAGCGGAGGAATGAAAAACAAAATATAAACCCCCAGTGTGCCACCTACCAGTGGTTCTTTGCTTCCTTCTTCTGTCTCTTCAGGAGCTGTCAGCCCTGTTTTCCAGTTAGCGGCTAAGTCCCACTGCACCCGCCGTGCCACGTGTGGGGAGGGTAGCTGTCCGTCACCACCACAAGAAAAGTAAAGAATGGAAGGAAGGAAGGAAGGAAGGAAGGGGGCTTTGTACCTCTGTCCCTGATGATTTTGCTCCTCGAGCTCTGGGACGCAGTCGTTGGGAACCGCAGGACCAGTGTGGGAGGACGTCCGCAGCGCCACCGCCGAGATGCCCACCCACGGGGAGGAGAAGCTCAGCAGTGCGGAGGCGGTGGGGCGCAGGAGGGCGTCCGCGTGCCGGCTCACGTTGACCACCAGCGGGTTGCGCTGGCAGGCCAGCGCGTGGGTCCCTGAAGAGAAAGGAGGCCATGAATCGCACTTCAAACCATTCACACAGCACAGCGATTTTCAATCAGTGGGCCCCCAAATTTTTAAAACATGCAATATCTGACAATTTAGTCAGGGGCACTGACCTCTTTTCCCTTAAACTGTCAAAAAACAAACAAACAAAAAAAAACCCCACAACGGCCAACATAACGATAGCTATCTGGTGGGAATGAATCAAAAATAGCTGTCTGGTGGGAATGAATCAAAATGATGCCTATTTTTTGTCAGAGCAGCAAAAAACGTATGCAAAACTGCAGAATTTTAGCAATCAGCCCCCGGGTGCCGTGAGATGGAAAGGGGTGAGAAACGCCGGTGTAGCACCATTTCTGCACGTCCGGCATGTGTCTCACCCTCTCCCTGCCGCCGGCTGCCCCCCCCCCCCCGGCGGCCCTGCGGGAACAGTGGCCGCACTCACCGAGAGAGTGGTTGTGTCCACTGACATCGGTCAGCTGAAGGGTCACTGCAGGCTGCTGACGGTCGCCAGGCACCAGGCCATCAGAAGCCAAGAAAATAAAAATCTCCGTGGCCACTCCGGGTCTCTCGAAACACACCTAGGCATAAGGACGTGTGTGTGAGCCGTCCTCCCCGCTGGGCTGTCGAGACACATAAAATAAGGGCTCCCTCTCCTGACGGACCAGGCGCAGGAAGACGGCCAAGGTCACACCAAAAATTCAAGAGAATCAGGTGGAAGGGAGATCATTTTCAGCTACTGGGCTTCCCATCTTTCCCTGAGACTTTTCACCTCAGCTGTTCCTTTTTTGTTTCAACCAGTCTTTCTTTAACTGTCTCGAAAGACCACTCAAAGAGATCACTGCTGGGGACGATAACGCGCCACGTCGCCAACCAGCACCTTCTGACCGCCGAAGTGCGAGCGGCGGACAAGCCAGTCAGCTGGCTGGCCTTCTGCTCTGACCTGGCACCGCTGGCTGATCTTCCCCACCGCCCCCTCTCACTCCCACGAACACGTCCATCAGAACCTCTCAGGCAGCACGTGGGCCGTGACGCGGGCGAGAGGTGAGTGCGGAATCTGCCGTCTCTGAGATTGGAAGCCGCCGCGCTGTGTATTCTCACGCGGGTCTCCTGGCGCCCCGCGCACACACGCCCTGTCCACGGCCGGAAGCCAAGCCAACCCCAAGGCACAAACCAGTCGGTTATTTGTAAGGAGTATTCCTGGACGGTTAGGCTGCTTAACGATACAGCGGCCCTTCAGAGCATGGGAGTCTTGTCCCTGGGAAGCCTCCACTGGAAGAGAGAACTTCTTGGAGAGAGATTGGGGATGACCTGGAGAGTGTGTTTCCCGCACCGAAGACCTCTGAGGTGCTGCTCACTCTAGTTTCGTCTCCCTGCAGCTCCACATTACTCTTTTATCTTCAGTTTACATGGCAGACTTTTTTATTTCTATATCGGACTCTAATTATTTACCCTTTAGGCTGTATACATACTCAAGACATTTGTTTACTGATCACAGAGTATTTTTAGTCTATAAAGTGGCCATTAAGTGCCCTTTTTAAATGAAATATGTTGGGGTGACACTGGGTCCTAGAGCCATATAGGTTTCGGGTGTCCATTTCTGACACACGATCTGTGTGTGGCATCGCTGCCCACCACCCCAAGTTGTACCTCCTTCCATCACCACATGATCGACCCCTAAACCCCGGTAACCACCATATATAGCAAAAAAAAAAAAGCGGGGGGGACACATACTAGGGAATTGTAAATGTGTTTGAATCTCTTTTCCCTCTTTTTAATTGAATTTATTGGGGTGACAGTGGTTAATAAGATCATGGAGATTTCAGGGGTATAATTCTATAACACATCATCTGTATATTGTATTGCATATTCAATATTACTCTTAAATTCCATTGAGAAGAAATTTCGACCTTCCCTGGTGTTCCACGAGACTCACATGATTCAAACCCTTGTACATTTCTCCAGCTCTTTACCAGGTCCTGAGGGTGGGGAAGCCCCAAGAAATGTGTTTTTGGGGCAAAAGAAGGTACCACATCAAATGGCAGCAACCTCCTCTAAGATCAGGGGGGCCTGAAGAGTAAAACATGTTTTCCATTTTAACGGGAATTCTTCCTTGTCCACAGACTGCATTTTCCTGAGTCTCGGTGGCGTGTTTATAGCGCTCGTTTGCACTGCTGGCTTAATTAGGGGGGTTTTACGATTTGCGGTGGTCGATATAGCACAAGTCTCCCTTCTTCTCCTCCTCCTTTGAGGCAAAGACCAGCCACGCTCTCTTTTTACTGTGTCTTTTCCCCCCTTTTTTCATTTCCCCCCTTTGAAGTCATAAATATTCCTTTATAACTTAAGAAACATCCAGACCCATAGGTTATGGCTTGCAATGCAAGGTCCTCTGTCCCTGGCCGGCGGAAGGCTGGACATGAAACACACTGTCAAGGCAACCGACGGCCTCCCTCGAAGCCCTCGACTCCGGCAGTGAAGGCCATCAAAGGGCCCTGGGGACTCCCACAGCACCCCCCTCCACACACCACAAAAGAGACCTGCGAGCGGGAAGAAAGTTCTGGGTCATTTCCTGAGCCAGGAAGAGCCAGACGCTAAACAAGCACCTGGTGGCTTCACCCCAACAGGCCTCAGACTTGAAGAGTTGGGGGGCAGGCACTTCAAGGGGGAGCAGGGGGGCTTGGTCTCCCTACCCTCTGTCCACGGCCCCACAGACCCCACCCACGTGAAATTAATTAGCGGGGCGTGGGTTCCTCTGTCCCGAGGGCCTGTGTCCAAAGCCCCCAGAGCATTTTGCACCTCCCAGAACTGTGTCTCCTTGCTCTGAGGGTCTTTGAACGCCGACGCCCCGGCACGCTCAGCCGGCGCCCGGGGCGTGCCTCTGGGCCCAGATCTGTGGGCCGCGGCTGTGCCAGGATTTCCAGGCGCTGGCTCAGGTGGAAAAACCACAGGTGAGACTCCCCAAGGGGATGGAGGCAGAGGAAGCCTGGGACACGCAAAGCAGAGAGAGACAAGGATCTGAGAAAGGGACGAGATGCCCACTCTTGGGCATTTCTTCTCAGAGCGACACAGGACAGGTGACAAATCCCATTCTCGTCCAAGTACCAAACGCTCAAGCCCCACAACAGCCACTCGACAAGGGAAGCACCAACTCCCTGACGCAGCTGTTGGAGCCTCAAAGTCAGAGGTCAGCCTGAACCCGCACACATGCGCACGAGCGACCTGAAAGTGTGGGACAGAGCGAGGACGTTCACGGGTCTGGGGGGCGGGCTGGCCAGGCAGAGCCTGCCCAGGCTTCACTCCTGGCTCCCTCCTGACCCAGGGGGTGAGTGTGAGTCCTCCATCCCATGCCCGCTCTGAGCCTAGGATTCCTCCCCCCGCATCTGAGAAACGGACACACGGCCGACTCCTGGAGCTCCCGGAGGATCCGATGAAATCATCTGAAATCACGCAGGACAGTGCCTGTCGTGTACTTGGGACTCAATGTTCAATAATTTTTATTTCCCCCAAAATACTTTTCTTCTGGTCACACTTCAGGGAGACAAGGGGAAAAGTAAAAATTTTTCATGAAACATACATATGTGTATTTGCGGATGTAGAGACCTGGGATTTCCTAAGCTGTATAGACTAAAATATTTCTTATACACTGTTTATGCTATTTTAAATGCGTACTTGCAGAAATGTGAGTTGGTATCTAGGTTTTACTTCCATAGAAACTGGTAGTATTTGAGGCTCTGGGTTTGGAATGTATCCTACTTTATAAGTGGAATCTATAAGAAACACATATGTATATATGTACACATTATATTTTATATATATATATAACTCTTATTAGACTCAGGAAATCCAGTTCAAAACACAATTATTAAAAACCTACTTTTGCTGTACATATAAACTAGAATTTATAGTATAAATTAGAATACTAAATATACATTCCTTATTCGAGCAAAGATGCTATTTTTAAAAGTTGCTCTTTCCACAGCCAAGTCACAGCTACTTTAACACGTGTTGCAGTCCTATTTTTACTGCACATGAAATAAATAATGAATGTTGTGTTCCTAGACATGAAAGACAGGCCGTGACTGAAGCGCCACATTTGGCCACAGGAAGCTCTTACCAATTCTACCCCCGTGCCGCCCCCTGTGCCATTACAAGGGTGACACCCTTGAGTCACCACACCATGTGCATTATGGGAACAGCTAGCCCCACCCGCAGGACTGAGCACCCCAGATGCACCTCCCAGGTGGCCGCTCAGACCCGCCCCCAAAGAAAAAGCCAAGGTGCTGTGAGGCCCGGAGGTCGGCGGCTCCGGCTCCAAGGCTGCAGGACTTGTGTTGCCAAGGACACTGCATGCGTACTGCACGTGGGCGACACACACTGACTGTGAGCACGGCTCTGCGGAAGGAGAAAGACTGCAGCCAAGCACCTGAGTGGGGGTAGGGGGGGTGGGTTGGGGGATCTTTTAGAAAAATGAGTGATTCTCAGGACTCAAGATAAAGGGGCTGCCAGTGAATGAGCTCAGTGAATCCGTCACAAAATACTTTGGAGCAGAGAAAACACATACTGGACGGATGGACAGATAAACAGAGACAGACAGACAGACAGTGACAGACAAAAGTAGAAAACCAATCCCACACTCTCAGTGGCTTTTTCATCCAAAGCCTGCACGTCACCTGCCAGACCTAACGTCCGGCCACTGGAGACGGGGAGGCGGGAGGAACGCTGCCCCGGTGTGGGAGGGTTCGAGCTTGAGAAGCCCTCCTGCCATGCGCCCGCTGGGTATGGTACGGACACCCTGACTGTGCCCCGGGCCAGGCCTCCCAGCTCCCGGGTCACCCTCTGTGGCGGCCCCTGGAGAGCAGACCCGGAGACTGTACCTCAAACTGGAGAAGATTCCTCTCTGAGGTTTTAAGATGCTTTTGGTTGGTTACTGGGTTGTTATGTGTCCTGTGCCCTCCCGTCTTCACTCACCTGCGGTACCTCCTGACCCCAGAGAGGAAGGGCAGGCCCCTGAGCGGGAGAGGGCGGGCGGACACTCCATCTGGTGGTGTCGCCCCTGACGGTCTGCTGAGCGGACCCCGGGCTGTGCCGGGGCCCCCAACAAGCTCACTGGGCTTCTGCTCCTGTTAGAGGTTTTTGCTCTGTCATACCCCCGGGATACAAAGGTTACAGTGTGGAAGTGGGAAAAGCAGGATTCTGACAGCTTAAGTGATGTCCTCTAGCTCACAGGGGGCAAACACAGGGCCTGCGGGCCGAATCCGGCCCTCCACCTTGTTTTATCCGGCCTGGCACCTTGTTTCTACTCAGGCGCAGAGCTGCGCTCTCGCTTAACAGTTAAGGAGGAGTTACACTTACACAGCCCTAAGATTACATTCGGCCCTTTGAAGGCAACCACGAGGCTGATGTGGCCCCCGGGGAAAGTGAGTTTGACACCCCTGCTCTAGCTAAATGCTAGCAAGGTGGGAACTTAGGTTTTCCCACTTTGCTCTAAAGCCTTTTGACTGCCCAGTGGTTCTTATTTCGGGGTGAGCAAGAAATCACAGATTCCTTAGAAAACGTGTTGCCATTTGTGCTCTCCCCCCGC